GAAATACCACTATATCTGTATTTCACTACTTAAGTCATCTGGGAATTGCAAACATCTCCTAAAGTAGAAGCTCTGCTCTTTAATTAGCAGATTGCAATATTCCTCTTTCTTTTCCTCTAAAGCCTATAACCACACACCATGCTCTTACACTAAAAAAACCCCACGACTATTACTACATACTCATGTTATGTATATGTCACACTAGAAATCTTCTAAGAGGCTGGATCAGACCAAGGATAAGCTCAAGAGAATCCAAATCTGCTACAGGAAGCAACAATGGCTAATACTCCTCTATTTTTGGTATTGTTCTCAAGTTCTAGCAATTTTTAGAAGTGTGAAACTCTGCCCTGATCTGCTTAACAAACGTGTGATGATATTTTTATCACACACAAAACATTCTAGTCCTCATTTATATACCTTATTTATTTATTATGTTACCAGCAAAAAATATCATAGGAGAATCGTGAAAAAGAATTTATAAAGTTCATGTACATTTATGAAACCGCTAGTAACAATATGTGAAACAAGAAACAGCCTCCCTACTTCAATCATGAATCCACATACATGACTCATGTACTCATCATGGTGTTGTTAGTCTGTTTCAGTGGCTTTAATAGGTTTTACTTTCTCTTAAGATGAAAGGTATTCTCGCTCCTTCCCATCTTTTTTCTTTTCGGTTTTATAAGATGAAGTAGTCACAACTGATTACAACATTCAAATACACCTATAGTTTATTTTTTAGAAACAGTCATCACTAGATAACAATATTCACACATTCAAGTTACCTGAGACACCATTTGCCCTTACAGCCAGTGACAAGGAAATCAGTCTAAGGCTGAAATAAGGTTATCACTTAGTAGCTCCTACAACAGGTACTTGGCAGGCCCCTTCCAAGTGATGCTCAGTAATTTAGAACACTGCAAGTTCACAGAAACCATGGCTGCTAAATCAACAACTTTTGTTCTGTTTTGAATGTCTGAAACTTCTTCAGCAAACCTGAACAGAATGTATAATTCCTCCATGATTCAAGTGTTTATATAAGATTTTAAATATATATATTTAAATGATACAGTTGCCACAACCAAGAAATGAATACATGGGGATTTTTTTATATGTTTTGGATTTGTTGTCTGTTCTGTACCCTCTTCAAAGCCTGGAGAACAGGAAGCAGGGCAGAGATTACTATAAAAAGATATGTGATCCAGAATACAACAGACTGCAAAGATGAAAAGTCTGTTGATGGAATGAGCTGGGAGAACAGAATACAATTTCTGTGCACGGCAAAATGCTTTTTCTATGGCTGGGTAATCTCCCTTGCTCTTTAAATCTAAAACTGTCTCAGTGATGGTTAGGTTTACAAAGAACTAGGCAATAAAGAGCCCAGCAGTTTATCAAGAACTATCCAATAAGAGGCCGCCTTGATACAAGAAAGAGAAAATCTAATGGCATTAGACTATGTGGTCTGGAAATAAACATGAGCATTAATTAATTAACTAATTAATCATTCTTCTAAATTATCCTTCCAGTTTTTCTGTGATATTTTACTCTCTAGAAACAGAATAAGGAACAACAAGAAACAGTGGACCTTGGCATTTGCATCCAGGACCTTCCATGGCGACCAAAATCCATGGATGTTCAAATCCCATTCCATACAATGACACAGTAAAATGGTCTCCCTTGTATAAAATGATAAAATCTATGTTTGTTTTTGGATTTTTAATTTTTTTTCAATCTATGGAAGGTTGAATGTATAGATATGGAAGGCTGACCATATTTTGCTATGCGTCTTCCACCATCACAGTCTCCATCCTGCAAAAGTCTTCTGCCAAGTGTATTTAACTATACAGCACAGTATTCTTCAAAATGACACCATTTAGGAAGTGTTTTACTACAGCTTCCATCATTCACAGCAAGATGGGCCATGGCATCAGGTTGGGGAAGGCTGATGATACATGTTGTTAAATATGTAAGAATTGAATTAAACCAGTTAGTCTGGGCCTGCTGCACCAGTTGCCAAATCTCTAGCCTGCTTGAACCACAACACTTTCTGTTTTGGATGAATACAGGCTACAGAAGGCGAAATGGCTTGCCTCCCAGACACCATGAAATTTGTTCTTTTTCTAACACAGTGAACCTATTGATAACATTTTGCACTCTGGCCTCCTAAGCATGATACTATAAATCTCTGTAGAAAAACATAATGCAATTCCCTGTCTGTTTGGCCAGAAGTAAGTCCAAATGTACTCAGAGGGGCTCACCTCCAGGTGAATACACACAGGAATCTGACAGCTTTGAATTTATGGTCAACACAGCTGAAAACGACCTTGACTCATACTTTAAGAGACAAATCATTGAAGAAGTGCTAATATTTGGAAACACATCTACAAAATCCCAACCTTTTTTTTCAAAGTTAGTGAGAAATACATCTGAATCAACATACAGGTGTTTCCCGGAGAAGAAATTCCACTATACATTGATGTAGAACTCTTTACTAACAGAATCTGATTTGTGCTGCAACCTCGCAAAATAGTCTTGTTTTCTGCAAAACACTCCAACTGAAATGCACAGCAATCAGTTCCTGGGGCAGAACTGCATTATCTAGCTCACATTTACTTGGGTTGCATCTATAGTGTAGAACAAATACAGTTCAATCCCACTTTAAATACCATAGCTCAATGGTATGGAATCCTGGGATTTGTAGTTTGATGAGTTACCAGCACTATTTGGCAAAGAAGGCTAAAGACCTGATAAAAAACAATCATCATGTTTCCATAGCAATAGAATTTAATGTGTAGTCATTCCACATTGTAGATGTCTCCATAATCCCAGGGTCCTTCCATAAAGCCATATAACCCTGAATATCAAGGCAGAAACTCCCACAATATCTGCTTTGAACTGGGTTCTCCTAGTCCACACTGCCATATATTCCAGTTCAAAGCAGATTCTGGGTTATATGACTGTGTGGAAACGCCCTAAATTTTGACTGGAATTTCCCAGTGTAGTCTTAACCTATACAGTAGCAGAAGCGATGTATAACAACTGTATAACAACTGTATGCCTGGAAACCTTCTCCAAAGCTGAATGAACACATTTATAGTACCACATACCCATCACCTCTACATTTCCAGGACCGCTTTGGGGCAAAACCACCAGAGGCTGCTCATGAAGAGTGCCCTTGCCAGTGAAAAATAACACTACAATTCTTCTCTGTCATGAAATCAGATATTACAAGGCAGTCGCTGAATCCTATGACAGAACAAACTTGGCAGTTGGAAAGGGCAAATAGGAATTCAGTAAGAAAAAACCGCCAAGACTTGAGAAAACAAACAACATATGGTGAAAACTGCACAGCAAATCATGGTTTACAACATTCGTTCATCATGAACTTGCATCGCCACCTCCACAGAAGCGTCTTTATGGAGACAAAACAATCCCCATATCGCATCCACACTATCTTCTCCCTGCCATACAAACACACCTTACAGCCATATTATCCCCCCCTCCCCCCCCCCCACACACACCTTGTGCATCAGGAGCAAAACCTTGAGTAAAATACTAATTGTATTGTCGAAGGCGTTCATGGCCAGAATCACTGGGTTATGAGTATTCCGGGCTGTATGGCCATGTTCCAGAAGCATTCTCTCATGACATTTCACCTGCATCTATAGCAGGCACCCTCAGAGGTTGTGAGGTCAGGAGAGCATGCTTCTTGGAATATGGCCCAGAAAACTCACAACCCCAAATAATCATTGCCTCACCAATTCCCAAAACAAGTTATGGTGAACTTTTCATTCCTCCAACCTCCCCTGCAAATTAGTTATTATGATTTCTTTGTGTACTGTATGTTGGCATTGAGTTTTTGCAAATTAGTATATTGTAAACAGTTTTGAATTCCCCCCCCCCAGGGGTGAGAAAGGAGGTACATAAATGCAGTAAATAAATAAAAATAAATAAATGGGTGGCCATTTGTCGGGGGTGCTTTGAATGCAATTTTCCTGCTTCTGGAAGGGGGTTGGACTGGATGGTCCAAGAGGTTTCTTCCAACTCTAGGATTCTATGAAATAACGCCTTCAAGCCAGGAAGGAGGGACCTTGTTCGTGAGTAGGCCCCATCATTTGGGCAGTGGGTGTTTGCTCCCAAGCGAAGGCCCAGACCCGGAGTCCTCCCCTCAGCCCCAGCCTCCCTCGCCCCACAAACAAACCCCCAGAACAACTTCGCAAAGTTCCCCTTCTCTTGCTGCCAAGCCATCTTTCCTCCCATGATGATTGTGAGGGGCTGTAAGCCACACACACACCCCGCAGGGTCTCAAGGAAGGCAACCTCCATCTATCAAAGGGGGGGGGGGAGAAGGGAGCGCCCCTCCCCCTGTGCAGGATGAAGGCACAAGTCCTCTGGCCTCCTCTGCCCAAGCGGGCTGGTGCCTCACCAAAGTGCAACTCCTATGATTGCGGGGCAGTTCAAGTGGTCCCAAACTGCGCTAATCCCACGGTGTGGGTGCACCCTGGCTCCCTCTGGGGCCCACCTTTCCCCGGTGGGCAGGGCGGCCGGAGGACAAAGCCTCGGTCCGTCCTGAGGGAAAAGCCGGGCATTTGGGCAGGCCTGCCGGGGAGGAGGGCACGGAGGGGAGGGGAGAGGGGCCGGGTGGAAGAAGGGGCGGCAGAGGGGGCCCAACAGCGCTTCTCCCCAAAGGGTTGGCCTACCCCCCTCCGCTGCCCAAAGAGGCCTAGCCGGGGCGGAAAGGCCGGCACAAGCCCTCCTCCCTCCCTGGGCCTGGCCTCCTCTCGGGGCGCCCCCTTGAGGGAGGGGCAAGGAGGGCCCCCCAGCCCTGGAAAAACAAGAGCGGGCCCGGGCCGAGGAGGTCTTGCACAGGAGAGGGAGCCTGTTTTGGGGTGCGCCGGGAGGGGGCCAGGGAAGTGTCCCCCTGTGGCCCTGGGGGGAAACGGGCCAAGGGGCGGCCTGGGTCACGGGGGGGGGCGAAAGGCCTGCGAGGGGGGGCATTACCTGTGCAAAGACCGGGGGGGAGGGAGGGAGGGAGGGGGCGGCGCTCAACGGAGGGGCTCTGCTCCCCAAGCCCTCCAAGCAGCGCTACCACCACCACCACCAGCAGCAGCAGCAGCCATTCATTGTCGGCCAGGGAGGCTCAGCAGAGCGCCGAGATTATCGATGGGGCCGGCCTGCCTGCCCGCCCGCGGCCCGGAAAGAAGAA